TGTTTTTTTTAGTTTTTTTTCTTGTTGTAGATGGATTAATTTTAAATATTTTTACTTAGTTTATCTAACTCTTATTTCTTAATTAGTTTTTGAAATATAGCATCCAAATATTAATACTTCCTAGTACAGTTAGACCTCTCTAAGTGCACCCCCTCCGAGACAATAATAAAAAGAAAAATGTGCATTTAAAGAGAGTGTGCATTTATAGAGTGTGCATTTATAGAGAACAAAATATATAGTGCTCTTATAAGTTGTATGCCGTGCATTTAGAAAATTTACATAGGGCGTGCACTTATAGAGTGTGCACTTAGGGAGGTCTTACTGTATTAATTAAAAATATTCTAAATTAAAAAATTTGCTAAAATTATTATATTATTATTATTTGAATTTTGGCAAAATAAAAAATTGGGTTAAATAGTAAATACAAATATATATATATATATATATATATATTATAATAAAAATAATCTAGATATACTGTATTTAAGATCTAAATAATACTAATTAAACTATGCACCTTATTGTATACGTAATTAATCCATTCCTTATAGAGTAAACGTGATTCAAAAATCTCACCTTAGATAACTTATATATACCCGCACAGATTGTAATACTTACAGAATCCTAATGACAAGTACGTACCCTACGTACGTACGTTGACAAGTACGTACGCACGTACGTACGTAATACAAACAACAAATCATCATAAGGTCATGAGATTTGGGAAGCAGTTAAAAATATCAGAGGTTCCGATTCGCATATAATCAGCTAACGGAGACACTATTGTGAAACAGGTGATTAGTATATTCTCGGATATTAGAAGCCATTAATAAATAAAGAATTTAGGTTCAGATTAATGTATATAATATATACAATATTTTGGTCATACATCTTAAAATACTTTTTTTAACATTATTAAACAAAGAAAATAACAACAATCTATTTCGAATATGCAAATATGCATACATGAATACCCCACTTCAACATTTATGTTTAAACCAATCATAAGCATTTTCACATTTCAAAAAATGTAATGTGAGACCAAATATTGCATATTGATATTTCTTTTGTCGTCCAACATAGGCAATTTATGAAATCATCATTATGCACACAATCCTTATTGTTCATAGCATGTATAAAGGATTTTGATATATTACTATCTGATATCATCCAATATCAACACAATATTGATTAATCATTGTTCATGAAATTTCTAATATTTTTTTAATATCGATATAGTACAGTAGTAGTACTAGTACTAGTAGTACGATAATGATCAAAGAAAATTTGATATCATGTGTCTTTTTTTCACGTAAACTAAAAAATAGATCAAATATTGTATAGAATAAGGGACATAGACAATCATGATAAATTACCTTTATGAAGGATGTTCCACGTGTGTAATTTCTTTACTTACGAAGTTGAGATTTTCAACTTACCAATTACTGGATTGGCATTAAACCAATGAACAAACCTAATTCAAAGTTTAATATTTGTCACAATCACAAATAACTTTAAGAAAAATCGAACTATTATATTTTTTTATTGTGCTAAACACGTTCTTAATTATTTAAATTAACTTTAACAAAAGTATAACGATAAATTTCAATATTATTGAATAATCAAATCGTTATTTATGGTTTTTTTATAGTTATTTATGGGTTATTTATGGTTATTTATGGTTATTTATGAATTTTATGACCTGGTCTTTGTTTACATCACAATAATAAAAATATTGCATAAGTGCATTGGCAACAATGAATGAATTTTTCGGATTAAATTTTTAGAAATAAACTACATACTGTATTATTAACGAATACAACGTTACTACTGTTACTACTGTTACTACTGTAGGCAGGTTTTTTTTTCTTTTTAGATGAAACTGAAATACGTATAATAGATTTGATGTAATTACGCATTCTTAACTATGTATCCGTATATGCAACATTTTTGTTAACTTTTTCATGTGCACTAATTAGTAAACGAAAAAGATGTTCCGATTAGCCCATTTTTCGGAAATCACGATGAACAATATGTATTCAAAATTGATGTTATTAATATTAATGTATTTATACACTTTAAATAACGCATTATCCCTGCAGGTTTCATGCAAGATTCATTCAATAAGGGACTCGCATGTACTTGTTCATTATCTTTACGGTTAAAAAACAAAGAAATGTGGTACTTACGTACAAACTTTATAAATTTTGCATATAAATAATTCGTATAATTTGATTCAACCGCAAAAAAAAAAATAAAAATTAAAAAATAAAAAAAAAATAATCTACTTCGACTTTCCCATTTTTGTCATATACAAATCTTTTTTTAAAAAAATAAAAAAAAAAAAAAGCAAAAAAAAAAAACTTAATCACATTCATTTTATATTTTATTTTTTATATAATCTTCCCTAACTCTCATAGAAATTTTTAAAAAATGGGACCTCGTCACTCTAAACCGAAACGAAAGAGAAATTCTATCTCAGTAGCGAACAATTATGGCTCTGGTAGCTTAAGGAAAGAATACGATTTTGATAATCCTTATATGATTCCAATAAATGATACGCAAATCGATCGCATGCAAACACAACATCATATTCTAAGAACCATATGTAATGGGAACTTCTTATCGCCCATCAAAGATAAATTAAAGGCAGGAAACTTTAAAGTACTTGACTTTGGGTATGCATCAAAAAATTTATATTTTTCTTACCGTCATCATGTTGGTTAAATTTTAATTCTTCTATCTAAATATCTAATGATGATTTCTTTGAAACATCAAAGTTGCGGAACAGGCACATGGCTATGTGATGTGGTTTGTTTCATTTTCTTTTTTATGTTTTCATGTGGTTTTCATATGGTAGAGGTTCATTTTATGTTCATACTTTATTTTCTTTTAGGCAACAGATTATCCATCAGCAAGTTTCGTTGGTGTAGATTTTGCTCCTATTTGGCCTACACAAAAGCCCCTTAATATTCAATTCATCGTTGCAAATATAATTGATGGCTTAGAATTCGAAGTAATTAATCCTTTTATCACTGACTCTATTAACCTCATTTTTATGAATTTATTAGTAAGCTAATAAACTGTTCATATGATTATTTTCAGGATAATTCTTTTGATTATATACATGCTAGGTCATTAGTAACTTATTTCAATGACAATGAATGGGAAAATTACGTAATACCTGGTAATTTTATTTTATAAAAATTTACGATTCGTATAGACCATGAAACATTGTATTCTGATTCTCTAAATTTGTCGTATTAGAACTTACACGAATATTAAAGCCCGGTGGTTACTTGGAATTTTTTGATGATGAAGTGGTAAGTTTTGTTTCAAATTTTTTGTTTCAAATTTTTATTTGGTATTTTTTTTGGTTCTAATTTTATATTTATTTTATATTATTCTATTTTTTAATATTAGTTATGGTATAACATGCCTCCGTCTTTAGAGAAATTATGCAATGCCAGTAAGTATTTTATTAATATATATATATATATATATTTATAATTGTTATGCCTATATGTTTATGTTTATACTTATATGTAATTTTTAAATTAGTTCAGACTGAATTACAAGCACGGCATATGGATCCTTTAATATCACGAAGAATTGGTGATTTCATAAAAGCTACTGGTCAGCTAGAAAATATTCAACATGAGCAAAAGGTTGTACCTTACGGATCACATGGTGGAAAAATAGGTAATTTTATTATAAATAATATATATATTGTATATTTGCTTAACTGGTAATTAAATATTTATATTCTTTATTATTCTTTATTAGGTGAACTTACTGCTCAGACATTTCTTCAATTCTTTGAAGGTGTCAGAAAACCTTTAATGGAAATTATGAGTTTAAGTGACTCTGAGTATGACAATTTAGTGTCAAAACTTGAAAATGAAATTAATTTTTATCGTACATATGGTAAAAATCATAGGTATATAGCTCAAAAACAACAAAAATAATAATATAATTTTACATTAATTTTACAATACAATAGAGTATGAATTATAATTTTTATTTAGAATTACCGGTATTAATAATATTTTTGATGAAATTTTATTTCTGCTGAGCGGATAATTTTTCTTGTAATAGAGGTTACAATCACAAAAAAAAAAAGGAAAATTACAATATCTTCATCCTGTTTGCATAGACGAATTCTTTTTAATGCATATTTGCCATTGAAAGGTTTGTTTTCGCTTACCTGACATGTTTTCACCTGTAAAAAACGCTAATAATATGAAATTGCCTATCGTTATTGTCGCTGTACATACCGCACATACCGCGCATGCACAGATTTAGTCCCGATGTATATACATGCATGAATCGAATGTGGTTACGTTTCGATTATGTCATTTATGTACGTACGTGCAAGTCTTTAATATTAATTAAGCGTTGAGGAAAGGTTTATTAACTAAGAATCGGAAACAATTATATGTCGCTATGTTTCACTAGTTTTGTCATTTCGGTTTTTTTTTAAAAAAAAAAAAAATTTTTTTGGTAAGGTCGAAACTGGATTATGCCTTTCGTCAATAATGAACTTCTGGATTCATCCAGCAACCATAGTTTTCGTTACATAAATATATACATACCGATGTATTCTCGGTTATATGCCTACTCAGTTTTTTAGTAAACTTATTATACGTATTAAAATCAATTACCAGTATTAAATTTACATATATATAATATATATATATATATAAATATTATATATATATATATATATATATATATATTATATATATATATATATAATATATATATATATTATATATATATATATATAACATTTTTGCGCGCAGTTAAGACAGATTTATAATAATGCAAAAGTTTGGATTTTAGCCAACATTAAGAAATTAAGTTATAATTCTGGCAACATCACATGATTAGTAATAATTTTAAATTCCAATTAACAATCAGACATGTAACTATAGTTACAGTTAAAATACGATAGTTTGGGAAATTTGAATCCAATTTTTCCGTGTCAGGCCTTAATCATAGATTAAAAGTTTTTTTACATAACGCACAAACTGAAAAAAAATTTCGATTTAGTAAAAACAGTTTGCTGGATAACACATTGGTTAGAGTACGCATGGGCATTATTTTGAGGCAAAGATAAAATTCCTTCTAAGCTTACCTGCTATGTCTAATTACTTTGTTGAGGCTTTAATATGGGGTGCGCGTCATTTTGGGACGTTCATGGGCGTTATTTTGAAACCATGCATGACATTTGAGGGAACGTGATTTTCTAAGTAACGTCCATGCCCGTTATTTGCGACAGTACAGTTTTTAATGAAAATCAAGAACTAACAATTCTAGTTTTATTTCATATAGGGAACAACCAATAGTGTCCATGGGAGGATAAAATCGGAATTTAATTTTGATCGGAAGGTGGCACGACTAACTTTTCGCGGTTAGAAGTAAAGTTGACATTATTGTGGGTCAAAATGGTGTTTATTCCCGATCTCCTAGTAAATTTTCCATTATCACCTGTATCTGAAAATATAGATCCAAGAATCAATTGTAGAAATTGGAAAACAGAATACTTTCATCACAGATGAACTTACAAGTTTATTTGCGCTAAAAGTCTCGTCAACAGGATTGCACTGTTGCAATGCTCGCGATTTCTTCTTAACAGGATTTGGTAATTGGGCTGTCCAGTAAAATTTGAAATTTTAAAAAATAAGAAATCTCTATTCAGAGTTAAATAACTAAATAGTTAGTAACGTACTGCCAATTGTTATACTATATATGAGCCCCACCAAGGGAAACCTTTTATCGAGCTTTTCAATTATATTATGTACCAGACATATTCTCTAATAATTAAATAAATTGTGTCCGTTACAAAATATAATAGAAAGCCCGATGACAGATTTTTCCTTGGCGGCATTCATATGTTAATACAATAATAGGTAAAATTCACTTGATATAGCTGCCTCTTTACGACTTGACTATATTGTTAGCACGGTTGCTGGTATGGCAAATTATTCAATAGCAATTCTTGCAAATTTGCTTTTCCTGAGGTGTTTCTACAGAAACACTCAGTAACTTTAACCTAGATTTATGGATATTACGGGTGAGTGCTCGGATTTTTCTAGTGTATATTGCTTTCACATTTTTCAATAATTATTGACATTTTTTAATGTGTGTTTTTTTTACGAAAATAATCAAATTAAAGAATTAATTTATCATAATAATACATACTTAGCTGTACGTAAAATTTACAAATTAAAGAATTCTAGTTTTCTGGTTTGATGCTTAGTTGAGAGCTAGGAGTCGGGAAATAACTGTCAGGAAATGGGTAAACCCCCTAAACGAAACATAAATATATTTCCTAAAAGTTATATTTACTTAATAATATATGAGAAAGTTATTATTCTTTATCATGAGATATTAAACGTAGCGATGATAATTTGCTTTCCAACCGATGGACCGATTGAGTGTGAGGAACGAATGACGAAACCAATTGCAGTAATCCATGCGAAATCTATTTATTTATTTTATTTTTATTTTATTTTTATTTTGTCTTTTTATCCAATTTTCTAATTTTTCTCTTCTAACGCAATATTACCCATTGATGGAAACTAATAAAAAAATTGCCGACTTCAATTTTTCATGTAATGTAACTAGAGGTGTGCCTCGTGCGAGTTACATCTCTAAACGTAACTATCGTATGAGCTTGTTAATTTTTTGAACAATTGTCACATGAGTGACGGTAATAAATTATGATCGTAATAACGCAGTATTAAGTATAAATATGTATAAAAAGAAGAGATTCAGGTTTCGTACAAGTCATCTTCCTAATAAAGAATAAAGTAAATACATTTTCTCTTGTCAAACAAACAAATAAACGAGTGTTCGATCTCGATCTAAGTCCAGTATATTCGGTACAACTTTGCGACAACAATCGATTTTTTTTTTTATGATTTTGTGAAAAAAATGTTCTTTATCAATTATTAAATTATTAAGTTTTCATATCAAATCGGGAGTAATTTGATTCATCAAAGTTTCGAAAATCGTCACAAGTTCGTCAAGGATTGAAACCTTCTGACTGATGATCTGCATGCTCCTTCCGGACCGTGTCTGGCCCAAAAGAATGTTATTTCACAGTGTACCCATAGATTAGTCAGCTCATACAGAACCCTTCATCTAAAAATTTTGATCTGCGAATTACAGATTATTAAATTTTTTCAGGGCCCGATTGGCCCAATTGTTAAACTATTTTTTTGGTAACTTTTGTACGTAAGCTTTGAGATCTTGGTTCCTAAATATATATAAATCTTTTCTCAATTAAGACAAAATCTTTCAATTTACTTATCTCAATGTGAAACACGGATATAATTAAGGAGATTATTTATCGTCAAATAAGCGTCGATCTTACGTGTAATATTAATATTTGCAGTTTATGTAACACCTAAGTTACCCGTTATCAATACCGTTACTAATAAAATTTTATAAATATATATATATATATAATGTATTGGACATTTAAGTTAACTATCTAAAATTCATTATTTTCTGAAAATCTCACATGATGGAAAATATAGGATCATTTAAAAGACATTTTTGGTTACTTTTTCGAATGCTCGGAATTATAATCGTACTAAATGGTTTCGATATCTTTCATTCGTATTTTTTTCCATTCACTCCATCTCCTCGATACTCGCATACATCATTACTTACTTTATCCACTGATATCAATAGCGGATATAGAAATCTTTATATTCTAGGTGGCAGATCTAATAACGATAGTTTATCATCATCTATTAATACTGAGATTGGTTCACAAGCGTTTTATCGATTTTTCAATGATGACTTGGATGCTTCTTTGCAAATATGGAAAAATATTCCTAAAGAACAACTTCCTTCAGATGTTTCATGGGTTTCTGCAGTACAATTCAAACCCAATTCGCTAAATTGTTATTTATTTGGCAAACCCATAAATAAACCACCTAATGTAGATTCCACTTTAGTTTATAAACTTGATTCACTTAGTGGAAATATATCATTTATTAAAACTATTCCTGTGGATATTAGTAAACAAACTCAAGCTATATCTCATAATTCTGGAAGAATTTATATTTTTGCTGATTTAGATAATGAATTATATGGTCCTGATAAATATACTTCATATTATATAATTTATCTTTTGGATACTACTAATAACTATGAATGGAAATTAAGAAGTTCTTCAATTTTTGCACCGAAACCGAGACTTGATTATACCGCTACAATGATGCCTTCTGGTTAATTATCATTATTGTTATTATTGGCGAAATGTTTTTAAAATAAATTTTTATTAAAATTAATTATTGAATTCACCTTTTTAATTAGGACAAATATATTATATTGGAGGTCGAGAATTTCAAGATGGTGATGTGAATATTAATGAGGTTATTAATCAAAAAAAGAAAAACAAATCCTTTTTTTTTAAAAAAAAAATTTTTTAAAATATATTAAATTTTGTTTGTAGATTAAAATTTATGACACTAATGCCGGGGAATGGACATCAATGGTAAGTTTTAACAAGAAATGTACGTCGAAAATACTGTGGTACACCAAAATATTTTTTAC